TCATATTCATTAATTGTTCCAGGCACGGTAATGTTTCATGTCTACTACTATTATTATTATTATTATTTGTAAACATTCATAAATAAAAATACTCTTTATTCATTCATCCAAATAAATATCATTTACGATAAACAAAAAGATTAGTCTAGCTTAAGTTTGATTGTGCTTTTGATATGTTCTTGCTTTGTTTTACTCATATAATAACAATATACAACGTTTCTTTCTAACAAAAACTCGACAGTTTTAATGTTTTGTAAGAAATATTGCATCATATATGATGTAATTGAAAAAAAAAGCACATAGAAGATCTATGATTGTTAGTCGTCATATGGTGAAAAATTGATTCAAAATGATAAATTATATAACAGGATGTATTCAATAGAGAAAAAGAAACCAATATTAGAGTAACAATTCATCATAGACTAGAAATTTTCTGTAATGATTTATTTCTATTTGCAAAACTTGTCCATATGGTATATATTCTTTTGTTTATAAGAACAGCTAAGATCAAAACATTCCAAGATGAAAAGATGTCGTTCTTCAATAAACATATCCTTCTTTCTTTGGCTGAATTTTTGATGAGCTGATTGTTTCTATAATAAACAACAAAAATAGTAAGTTTCTATTTGTAAATAAGTAACAAATTTGATTATAGACATATATTGCGCACATCATTGTAGCAATCAAATGATTGAAGAAAAATGACATAAATTAGAAATGAAGTATTCTCCTTTCTTTTTTGTTTTTGTTGAAAAGATTAAGTTTGTTTCTCAAGAAAAATAATCAATTCCATATGAAAGTGAAAATATTCTAACGTTTATTTGAATTCATTGATACTTTTTCTTAATCTGTAAAAAAAGACATCTATTCAAAATCTGGCATCATACTATTATCACAGCTGGAAATCTTTATCAGATATTCTGCATGTCTGATATAATGTAGGAAAATATTATAACTCATGATTAATGTTGTAAATAATATATTATTAAGATATATATATAGAATGCCATGTTAAATTTCTGGTGTGAATCAAAAAACTTCTCTATAATCTTTATTATTCAAAATATAGCATAGAATATATATATATTTAATAAGAGAAAAGTCCAAAAGACTTATGCTTTTATTACTAAGAGGTAAATATAAAATTATATCGAATACTTGTTGTTTGAAGAATGAATTAATAAGAAAAATTATTAAGAATTGTTAAATGACTAAGATATATTTATAAAGATAGAAGAATGTCTTTTTTTTAGTATTGTATCATGTTATAAGAACAATTTGTCGATCATCATCATTCATCTTTGTTTAGTATGACAAGTCAGTGTAATTGTACTTCACTTTCTTTCTTTTTTCTTCTATCAGTCTCGGTTTTTTTTCTTTCGTTCTTCTTATCGTTCGATAGAATCCTTACGAAGAAAGATAGATATAATTGTTCTGTCTAGGACATCTTCCGTGTGCATCTACGTCCGTCTTCAATCGCTTACGCTTCCCAAAGAAGAACGACCCAACATAGTTTGTAAAAGGAGACATATAAGAGAAAAAAAAAAAGAACACGATTGTTCGGAAGCAACAGATAGCACGTTTTTCTTATTGGATTCTATTCATGCCATTATCTATAAAGCATAAAAGAGAACATTAAAAAAAAACGAGAGAATTATCTCTCGATCAAGATCTTGTGATTATTATCATTATTAAAAATTTTACTACGTGCTATCACATATATATATATATATTCTATGTTATTCCTATTCATTATTTTCTATACTTTGCAAACGAATAAATTTATTTATTTTTCATGACATAATCAAAATTTTTGTTATTATAGTTATCGTGCACGAGTAATATATGCTTTAGGAAAAAGAGAAATGATTTTATATATATAAATAAAACAGAATATCTAAGTTAGTAAAAATACCTATACGTATGAAAATAGAATAGTATGCATGAATGAAGTGGTAAGCTGTGTTTTCTTTTACGAATCTTTCTTCATATAAATAATAAAAATTAAGTAAAGTTAATCTTATTAATTATTTTTTTCTTGCTTCTAATAATTTCTTTTTATAATAATCAAAATAAAATAAATGAGATATTAACAGATTTCTTATTCGGTCAAGTTGTTTAACAGCTGTTACAAAATAAATATTGCGTTGTGTTGACAGCTGCGATAGATTTTTTTTCCTTTATTGTCTGTTATTTCTAAGACCATGTACGTCAATAAACTAAAGTCATCAAGAGAAATAACTACATATTGATTGACTTTCTAATATCTTTGATAATATCAATGCAGAATATTCGGAAATATCAAGTATTACTTAATCCTATATCTAATTGAGTTCTTCTTTTTCTTTGTTTCTTTTGAGATATATAGTTTTTTTTTTTTATTCTATTTTCTAGAAATTCGATGACAGTAATGAAGCGTCGAAAGAAGTTCTTTCTAAAAAATAACATTCATTCAATATTATTGTCGTTTATAATACGACATTATTAAATGCATTTACGTATATCCCGTTTACGTTTCGTACTTGTACGATGTTGTCTTTTATTAATTATATTATTATTTTTATTAGAAATGAAAATATTTTTTAAAAATGATAATATATCGAATAAAAGTCTAATGGAAATATTATTTTGGAAAAATTTATTAAAACAAGATCAATTATTAACAAATGAACAACGAATTGAACAAATCGAATTAATTGTAAAACAAAGAAAAAAAAATGAACTTAATTGGACAAATATGTTTTATGATATTTATAGAAGAAAAATTGAAAAACTTAATCAAAGAGATATGAAAAATGTATATAAATATAGTATAATAGAAAATATACAAAATATTTCACAAATAACATTTGAAATTTTTGAAGAAACTCCCGTAAGAAATATTTCTTTTTTTGTAAAAATATAATAATTTTCTTTCTACAGGTTTTTCAGCGTCCTAAATTTTGTTCATCAACACATATATTTCATCCGCAATGTCCATATAAAAATTGTCTATGGAATTGTAAAAAATCTCCAATTAATTATAAAAATATTCGTCGAGCCAATATTTTTCATCATGTTGATATAAATCTTGAAGAAATAAATGAAAAACAAAAATATCGTTCTCATAATGATATATGGATATTATGGATCGATGAAGCTAATCGTCAAATAGAATATTTAAATGAATATAAATTTAATTGGACATTAAGTTTTCGACAAGATTCTGAAATATCTATTGCAACATATGGTTTATTAATTCCTAATGATGATAATAATAATAAAAATTTTTATTTCAATAATAAGTCAGATTTAATACTCTCATCGGATTTTCTTTATATTTTAACAAATCATAGTATTTTAATAACAGATTTTACATTAGAAAATTATATTTTAACTAATTATCGCTATCGTTTTAAACATGCATTATGGTTCGTATCAAATTGTGAACCAAAACAACGTCTTAAATATTATGAACAATTAAAAACTTATTTTCCTATAAATGCTTATGGTTCATGTATAAATAATGGAAAAAATACATGTTATAAAAATGATCAATGTGAAATTGAACAATTTCGTTCGGCATTTTTTTATTTAGCATTTGAATCTCAAACATGTACAGATTATATAACAGAAAAATTTTGGCGTGCACTTCATTATGGAATGATTCCAATTGTATTTGGACCACGAAAACAATCATATTTAGATTTAGGTATACCAAAATCAGCTTTTATACATGTTGAAGATTTTAAATCAGCTAAACAATTAGGTAAATATTTACATAAGATTTCAAATGATTATTTTCTTTATCGAAATTATTTTCAATGGATAAATCATTATCAAATTTTTTATCAAACATATGATCTTGAACCAATACGTATGTGTGAATTATGTATGAGACTTAATATACAAAATAAAAATGAACATCGCTTCTATACGAATATTCATCAATGGCATCGAAATGAATGTTAAAAAAATAACAATAGACACTACGTTTTTTAATTTTTATGATAAATATAAAATGTTTATTCAATAAATAAATGAAAGATGAATTTTATTTTATTTTTCTCCTTCAATTTAGTTGAGTTTGAATCTTTTGATTTGATTGATGACCTTGATGTTTTGTGAAAAAAAAGAATATCTTGAGAGTTTTTATTTACAACTAAAGAATGATATGACATACAATATTCTTTTCTTTTTAACACAATCTATAGATTAATATGATCATATGTAGGTCTTCAGTATTTGTTCATATACATAAATGAAGCTTTATATAGTCAAAGAGAATATTGCTTTTTTTTTTGGTATTTTAATCTAGATTTCTTAACATTGTTTTTAATTATTTTTAAAAGTAGAGCTATACCATAAAACTATATATTCCGAAGGTTGATTTTTGAATCTTTAATAACAAATAAAATTTCTTATCGTATTACAATGGTATTAAGAAGCAAAAATCTTCATAAGTATATTAGAGTCTATATATATATATATATATGAAATTCAATAGTTTCATTAAATTGCATGTATTTCAGTTTTGCTTGTTACCATTGTTTACTTACTCGCTTGCTATAAAAACAAAGCCGAAGACGACTACATCATCGGGTCACCAACAAATAAAGAGTCAATTTACAAAAAAAGAAAATCGGCTCTCTTGCAAAGCGTTCTTTGGTTGTCTCTCAAATGTTGATAGTAATGCTTCGACTGTTACTTTTACAGTTGCTGTTATTGTAATTCTCTTTCAATTAACAGAAACGAAAGAGTATCGAACGAAGTAGAAACGTTTGAGAGTATTGAAAAGTAACTTTGTCATCAAACCAATCCATAACGACCAGCATCATCGGTAACCAACTTACAATTCACATACATGTGTACATGTATGAAAATGCCATTGTTTCTCATTTTTTTTTAGTTTTTTTCCTCGTTTGCGCATATTTTGTCCAATCTTTTTCTTTTCATTCTTTATAATAGAATTTTCAATTTTTTTCTTCATTTTGTCATTTTTTTTGAATAGACGTACAAATATGTCGTCTGTAATCTTTCAACCATTATTACATGATCCGCTTGGATGGAAATCATCAAATACAACATATGCTGATACGTTTAAATGGCGAAAATATCGATCAACTAGTAAAGATAAAAAGATTTCAACATATGGTCAACAATACCAGAAGCAACTACGAAAACAACAACAAAAATTACAACAACCAAATGCGTATTTGTCATCAACAACAAATGAAGAACAAATAATTCAACGGGTTATTCCAACGAAAAAAGATGAAGAAAATCAACGAGTAACACCTGTGTCTTATCGATGTTCATCATCAAAAACAGCACCTGCTATTATTGATGAAAATTCGGTCTCTATTATTGAATATAAACAACGATCTGCTTCAAATAATAGGGTTAGTCTATTCACTATATAGATAATTATTAATATGAAGGTATTATGCTTTTTCAGGAAGCCACCTGTGGCTCAAGAGGTTCACAGCGTTCGCAAACAGCACCAGATGCTGCCGAAGGTAAAGAGAGTTTTTTTTTAAAGTACTCAACAAAAATTCTATTACAGTACATTTGAAAGTCTTGTTTCGTTCTTTTGAAATGTAATCTCAAGTTTACCTTCAAATGATTTAATTAGAAATAGAAAAAATACTAATTTTTAAGCAAGAAAACTTTCATAATTTAAAAAAAACAGAGAAGAAAAATTTCAAGTACGACCATTTCTTCATTTTTATTTTCTCTCAAAATTTACTTATACTCTTATGTTTCGATCACAACGAAATATTTGTTTATTATCTTATAACCTTAACTAAACATTCAGACAAGCAGATAGAATTTTAAAGTTTGAGAGAAAAAAAAATTGATAATTAAATTAGTTCACAAAGGATTAATAAAAAAAAATCAGGTAGTATTTCTTTTTCACTTCTTGCTTAAAAATAATAATAATAACAATAATACTGTAAGAGAAACCTTAGCAATATTCATGATGATTGCAAAATGATTTATTCCAACATATGTTTTTTTATAGAAACATGTCGTCCAGCAACATCATTGGAAGCTCGACGATCTCCTAAGGAAGAAAAAGAAAAGATTATTAGTGATCCAAATAATGATAATAGTCGACATTGGCTTGCTTATCCAAATCCGAAAACACCTGAATATTTAATTGATATTAAACAACGTTTGGGACAATTAAAAATTCCTTCAACACTTGTCCGACCAACATCAGCAACAAATTTATCTAGTGAACGACAACAAAAAACATGTCTACCGATTCAACGATCAGAATCTTCTGTCTTACAACGTCAACAACGTCAATCTGTTGAACAACAACATTTTCTTGATTTTAATCTTCCAGAAACACCAAATGAATTACGTGCTGCACGTCATCGTCTTGAAAAACATCGATATAATTCATCAATTGATAATTATCCACCACGTCCACAAACATGTCCAGCACATACAAATGTTATTGCAAAACCATTAACACCACCTATTACAGTTCAATCTAAAGATGAACAATTACCACCTATTCAAACAACACAAATAAAAGATGATGCATGGATTAATGATGAAGAAAATAAACTAGAAGGAAATGAAACATCATCAATTATGATACAACCAATTGATGTAGATGGTTTACCAAATGAATATGTTGAAGCACTTGAAACAGCTTATATAGCACAAGAAGAATATTTAAAAAGTTTAAAAATTAATAGTGAAAAAACACCTGATAATTTTGTTTATCGTCTTCCATCAATGTCATTTGATAATAAAAATGAATCATTTGTAAGTGAAATCTCTTTAACAAATTAATTTATTTCATCTAAAACAGATTGCTTATCGTAATCAACAACAATCAACAACACCACCACCAAATAATAATTTAATGCGAGAAAATGATTTTGGTACTTGGGTTCGAAATGCTACGGATAAAGGTAATAAATTTTAAAAAAAATTGAAAAGAATAAAATAATTTAATAATGAATTATTTCATAGAACGTGAATCAGCAATGAAAATTTTACATGAAGTTTTAAATCAACCAGTTATGGGTTATGATATTCCAACAAAACAACAAACTTTATTTAGGCAAGCACCAGTGCCACCGCCTGCTCGTACAAGTTCAGCAACAAGAAAATTAGGTCGTACTCGTACACATCAACGTATTCCATGTGACATATGTGAAAAACAACTTATTAAACGTCATTTATGGGATTTAAGTCGGTAAGAATTTTTATTTTCTTTGTATTCTTTTTTTGTTTTAATTAAAAGACAAATTTTCTCATAGATCAGACACATTGACTTGTCCTCATCAAACTCAAACAACAAAAGCACCAATAATTCAAGTTCGAGCATCATAACAAAAGGTTTAAATCTATATTATTTTATTAGTAATAAGTCTTTTATTTAATCTACTAGGTATCGTTTGTCTACAATCGATATTTAATTCGTGAAAAACAAAAACAAATATATACACTTTATACTCTTTTTTTCTTTTCTTTTTTTTTTCGGGGGAATATAATATCTACGTAATTATAATTATTTTTGTAAAAAAAAGAAAGATAATATTGTTAATGACAATATATTATGATGAAATGTTTGTATTGATGACGTTGAGGAATTTTTTATGATTGCAGAATTGTTGATTGTTGCTGTTGTCATTGTTTGAAAAACATCTCGTAATCGACGGCGACCAAGAAGACGACGTCGTAATTGATTACAATTAATTAAGAAACCACGTGTATGATTTATTGAAAATCGTCGAATTTTATGTTCATCACTTGTTAAAATATATAAAGTCATATTATTACGTCGATTTTGACCACCAATACGTATTTGTGGATTGATATTTATTATTGAATCCGGTTGAGTAATAATTGTTGTTATTAATGTTGAAGTAAATGGAGAAGTAATAGTTGTTGTTATTGTTGTTGCCGTAAGAAGTGTAGATGTAGTAGTCATAGTAGTTGTCATTGTTGCTTCCGTTGTAATAAACAAAGCTGTTAATGGCAATTGTGTTGTTGTTGTGTCTATTGAAGTTGATTGAAAAGTATAACGAGTACGTCTTGTTCGTTGTTTTATTGTTGATGTATAAATAATTGCTTCATTTTCTGGTTCACCTGGTTGAAATAGTTTTGCTATTCCTAATTTATTTTTATATGGACGACGTTTTAATAGAAGAGTATGAATATCTTTTGAAAGCTTAAATATTAATGAAGAGAAAATTTTAAAAATCAAGAATTTTAGATTTGACTAACTTGTTCAAGAGAAAAACCATTTGTCAGTTGAGAGAGTGTAAACGGTAATATTTGAATTTGTTCAGTTGTTTCAAATTCTGGCATTATCGTTGTTGTTATCTCATTCTCAAAAGAATCTCCTAAATCAAATACACGATGTTTTCTTGTTGTTATAAAATATGGTGTTGTTGTTTTCCAATATTTTTGTGAAAATAATCTTGAATATTTCCATTTCCATGCTTTTGTAGTCGATGTTGTTCTTAGTATATGAGGTGATTTCAATGGTTTACAATCCACCTAGAAACATTCATATGAAATATCCATTTATTTAAAATGATATATCAATACTTACTAAACTTGCTGTTTCACATTTTCTTAATGTTGCATCAAATTCAGTTCCAGCTGGACAAACACGTTTAACTGCATGCATATAAACAGTATTAACATAAATACAATGCCAATAACGTCGACAATCATCAGCATCATATATTGGATGATATGAATCATCTTCATAACCTGTACAATCAAATGTATCATCAGCATGAATAATTAAAATAGCAACAAATAAAATTTGTAGAAAAACTACAATCGATACTGGCATTTTTTATGAACAGAAAAAAAATAAAACAAATTATATGATCACTTGTATAAATATAGTTGAAATGACATCAATTGGACATACATATATAATAAGAATAAGATGAAGAGACATCGATCATCATCCATCAATAAGCTGACAAACATTTTCTTTCGTTCCCTTCTGTCTGTGTGTACTTACATGCTTAAAGTAAAAACAAAAAGGGATCAACTCAAGTATCCTAATTTTATGTAATCAATCGCGTTAAATATCTGAAGTTAATGTAAGTAAAGAATAGCTCTTAAGCTTTGAAAATGACATCATTTAATCAAACATAATACTTTCAATTGGTCAAAAATAGAAAAATTAAACTAGTTTATTTTCTATAGGAAAATAAAAAAAAGATATATATAAATATGTATTGTTCAAAGAATAATACGTTCAAAATCTCGATAAACTATTGGAGATATACTAGCTGAAAATTTATCATCAAAATCACGATATAAATTCCATTTTGATATATCCGATGGTGCATTTGAATTAAGATGTAACATTATGGTATTAAGTGTTGACTGTCGAGCACGTTGATAATTGTTATGAGTCTCATTTTGAGATGATGATGATACTTGTGTATATGAATAAGCATTAGATTTTGATAAATTATCATCATCATCATCATTATAATAATCAGCAGCATAATTGACTGCAATTTTTGGAAGTTTTATAATTACTTTTTTACGAAGATTTTTTTGATTATTCGTTGGAGCACTTAATACACGTTGAGATTTCAATGATCTGAATAATAAAAGAACATTGGAAGATTTTTTTTTTCAAAGTAAAATCTCTGCAGTACTGAAATAAACATGAATAGGATCGTTCATTTATTAGCTTTAGTATTGCCAAGAATAAGTCCTATAGGCGGTTATATTCAAGTTTCTCAAGTTCAGATTTAGCTGTTCAAGGGTATCTTTGACTGTTTCTGTTTCTCAAAGACAGTATAATCGATCAAGCTGAAATTTTTACAGAGAAAAAAAAAAGATACATGTTCGAGGAAAAATGTTGAAGTGGATTTTGCGATTTTCTTTTTGGAAAATTCTAGTTTTTCGTAGTATTACATCCTAGTTGTGTACAACCCCCTCACGTAACTTTGTTCAATCGGACATTTTCGTTTTTGACTTTCCTACCCAAATTTACAGAATCTTCAGAGTCAAGATTCCGGTTTAGGCAACAAACGTTTACGATTTTTCTCATAGAAAAAACGAAAGTGAGATTTTTGGACAAGCTATGTAATGTACCAGGATGTAGCCTTATGAAAATTAGGATTTCCTAGAAAAATCACAAAAAAATCACGTGAAATTTTTCTTGTCTCGAATACATATCCCCTTATTTTTAGTACTCTGTCTGTATTAGAAATTTCAGCTGGATTGGTTCTACTCTCTTCGAGAACCAGAAACAGTCAAACAGAGGAAGAGTACCTTTAAGATCGGCCTATCAAAAATCGATCTTAGGTCAAGTATATTCAAATCGCATGAAATTTTCGAAAGATATTCAACAAGCAAGAGTCAAAAACAGTCTGTTGGATAATCTAAAATTCTTTAAAGGTCTTCATTCTATATACTTAAGTTTTTTTTTCTATTTGAAAGAATATGTCAGGATGCAGATAATGGCAAAGTCCTGTTTTATGATTTTTACTTTTTAAGGAGAGAAAAGTTCGATGTCTCAAAAAGTGGCGTTTTAATTATAAAAGTACTCATTTACATGATAATAACAAAGCTTAATTGAAGAAAAAAGGAACTCTCTCATGGCATATTTTTCAAGCAATTGATGAGAGAAATCATCAAAAACTTTCGCAAAAAATGAAAATAACAAGAAATAAAATGAAATCTTTTCATTCAATTCTCAAACTGTTTACAACATTATATAATTAATAATTTCTTTTCATTATAAATCAAAATGATTTTGTTTGTTGTATTTTTATTTTTTTCATAAAAACTACTTACGGTAAAGATTGTTTTGTTTTTAAAATAGATTTTGGTCTAGATTCTGTTGATATAATTGTATTTGTTGTTGAAATATTCGTTGTTGTAATAATAACTGAAACAGAATTATTGTTACGTTGATTAGCAATTGATAAAATATTAGTAGATTTTTTTCTATAATTATCATTATGTAATGGTATTTTCATTGTTTGTCGTATATAATTCATATATTCTCTATGTAATAGTTTATGATTTAATTGAGTTTTTATTTGATTTTGTTTGGAATGTTTAGCATATTGTTCTTGACGACATCGATTTTGTGTTAATAATTGTCGTAATTTAAGTTGATAAAATTCATAATAAGACTTTTTGTGTGTCGATTGTGCTTCTTGAAATGGAAATGAACAACTATAATTATTCATACGTTCAATAATTAATGTTGTTGTCATGCTTCTTCTTCTATGTTTTTTTTGACAATAGAAATAAATGGCAAATAGAACCGTTTAAATTATTTTATTTTTCGATTATGTTATAGTGTGACAGGTCTCTGTGATAAAATTTTTTTTTTATTAATGAAAAATAGTAGTTAAATGACTTTTTTTTTTACTAAAAATCTTATAATTCTATTACTCTTAATGGTGACTGACAAGTGTCGGTGAATTGTATTGTAACATAGGGAAAAAAAGAAAATCGTTAATTATGAAGCCCTTCGACTGTTAACGTTTTAACTAAAGATTGACAATTAATAGAAGAAAAGACAAAGAAAAAAAAAATCTGGCATCAATAAACAATGATATTTTCTTGTATAGTTATGTAAGTAAAAGAAATACTTGAAGGTTATTGAAAATGACAGTTTAATTCAATGAATTATTTTCGAGAATTTTAATAAAAAATTATTTTATTTTGAATATGACAATATGAAGAAAAACAAAGTTAATTTCAATTTTTGAGTTTAATATTTGAAATAATAAACTGTTATTTATACAGTTTCACTGTAAAACAATATACAATATTGAATATTTGCTGGATCAAACAGAGACATTTTACGATCTATATGTAAAAAGAATAATTCTTATCTCAATTATTTTATTGATAAGAAAACATTCAGTAATTTTTTTATTGAAATACATGAATAAGACATAAGCACGTATCTCATTAATCGAAGTGTGCTTAGTTTTCTCTTATGGTTTGACATCATCTATTGAGTATATATTTCTTTTCCAAATTTAATGATATTTTCTCATTGATGATTATCTTTTTTTTCAAAATCTTTGTACATAGTTATATTTGCTTTGAAATAATAAAGACTTTTGTTCTTTTTTTTTTGTTCTTAAGAATTCTCAATTAATATTTATTCTTGTTTCTATTAAAAAATTTACATAAAAAATTCAGAGCAAGATAATGCCATCTATTGAAACTTTATGAAATAATTTTCACCAATAAAATATCTTGATTTATTATTTATTTATTCATTCGAATACTCTAATCTAGTTCTGTTCTCAGTAACCTGCATATAAATATAAATATTATGACAGAAGACAACGATCAACAAAAAGAATTTTGTCAAAAATTTGCTTGTGAATTACAGACATGTCTTGACAGTAAGAAAATTAAAATATGAAAGAATTAATTCTTTGAAAAAAACAAATCAATAATAAATAAAATTTTCTAGAGCATACATACAATCAAGATAAATGTGAAAAAGTCTTAAACAAATTAAAACAATGTTGTTTAGAACATGGTGCTCAAAGTCCTGTTGTTTGTTCTGGTTTTCCTACTTCCAAATCTTCATCATCAAAATAAAATTAAAATATTTTATTACATAAATTGATATTTTATTGTAGAATCATTTTCATTTGTTTGAATATTACTCTGACAATCAATAGATGATATCTGTTCATTATCTAGAATAATACATCGTTCTGTTTCTTGATGATATTTATTTTTTAGATATTGTTTATAAAAATAATATATTATAATTAAACATATAAGAATAATTGGTATAAGAAGAATACCAATAATTGAGATGATTTTTGAATGAATAATAATAAAATGTTTTCGATCGGTAGATATTGTTGTATTAGAAATTGGAAAAAATGATGAATTCTGCATAAAACATGATGAAATTATTGAATTTCAACGCGCTAATTTATTTTAAATATTGACTGTACACAATATTATTTAATTCGAAAATAGAAATAAACTTATACATCGACATCGATTAAATAAAAAAAAGAAAAAAATGAATAACATATTGTCAACTATATATAGTATATCTGAAAATATTTTGTGCCAAGGAAATAACATTGATTTCAAATAACATAAACAATAAATTTTATATCAAAAGAAAGTACGTTGAAAATAGGATTTCTCAGTCAAATTTCAAATGACTTACCAGTATGTTGACATCAAAGTTACTACTAAAATGATCAGCGAAAAGATCTCTATAAAATTTAATAGACCAACAAATTTTCTCGAAATCTTTTACTTTTATAGTTGAGTATCTATAGAAATATTCTTGAACTTTCACACATTTTCATATATCTAATCAAAGATCTCGATATAGAATGAATTCTTCCTTTCACTTTGTGAAACATGAACTAAGAGAAGTGTTAAAATATATAGGATAGAAATTTGCATCCACTGCACAGACGTTGTTGATATACGATCACAGATTATATATCAATAATGTCTCGTTACAATATTTTAACCACTTTCTTATTGCATTTATGGAAGATTAAGTACAAGGAGACGGTGCCCAAGATATATAGAATAAAACAATCTTCTTTTGGTTGGTAACATCAGCTATATGGTGTTTCACATGTTAATCATGCAGGGATTGTGCTAATAGCTTTAGTCTGTCGCATCTGTGGAAACTTTGAGCTATTATCGGAAAACTATCTGCCAAAAATTTTTAGTCCTTCCTACTTCTAAAAACTATCGAGAGGTCTCATCCTATGGAGTATCAAATGCACACAAAAATCCGATTTTTAATAGGTTTTTATTTTATACAAAAAATTTATCATTCACGTTGTTAATAATCAGAATGCTTGTAGGTTTGAAGAAGATACTTTAACAAATACTAATAAATCACAAAAATGTTTACAACATAACACAAAAGACAGGCAAATAAAAAGTTTTTGTCAACTGACATTTATCATTATTTTTTAAAATACGCCTATATATAATTGTTTTCAAACGAATAAACTAATAAGTTCTAGTCAATAAATGTGTTTCCTCTATACTTTTTTTTACTTGATATACAAAAATTCTAACGGAATGATCTTTAAAATCTTCAATAATTAATTTATTATTTTCAACTATATATTCTTCATCATTATTAAGCCATTCATACCATCGTCCATTACGTGGAATGTTTAATATTTCATATTTTTCATATGTTATTGGTGCCCAATTACAAATAATAATAACATGATCACCTTGATTATGTATATCATAAATAGGTGGATTCCATCGATGCCAAGCTAATATTAAATCACATTCATCTTCAAATATAAATTCTAAATTTGGACTTGTTAAAGCTAAATTTAATTTTCGTAAATTAATAACATCTTTATAATATTGTAATTGTTTTTTATTAATAGCATTTGAATTATCATCTCGATCTTCAATTAATGTCCAATCAATTTTTGCTATACCTGGCGTTTTTTCTTTATATTCACCAATTTCTGCACCCATCCAAATCATCATAAGACCAAACGATGTTGCTTGAATTGCAAATGCCATACGTACACGACGAAATGCTTCGTCATCAAATAATTGATATTCTTTGCCTAAAGAGATTAAAAAAACCACAAACAAAAGCAAAAATCAATAACATTGTTTAGATTTTTTTTTTGTCTTCTACTTACCAAGATCGACTAATAAACGATTATGATCATGATTTGATTGATAATTAACAACATCAGTTATATTTTGATATCCTTGTCGACGAGCATCAATAACATCTTTGAGTTCATCAAGTTTTGGTGGTTCATTGCTCATAGATTCACGTAGTTTCAAATAAAAACTATCATGCCAAACACCATCCATAGGACCGCCATTAGATATAACATATTCTGGTTTATCAGGTAAATATTCACCAACACAATAAAATTCTGTTCCAAAGCCACTAAAAAGAAAAAAAACAAATAATGAAAAAGAATTTTATTTAGTGAAATAGAAAATATTATTTTGTCACCGTTCTCGAGCTTGTTGTTTTATTTGTTGTACGAGAATTTTAAGAAATTTATCATTAGCTATTTGAGTTGCTGCATCAAAACGTATGCCTAGCAAAAAAAAAGAAAAACAAAAAAAAAACTTTTATTTAATCTATGTTGATATGAATTTAATAACATACCGTCAATATGAAATTCATCAATAAAATATCTAATAGATTCACGAATATATTTTCTTGCTGGCCAAAGCTTATATTTTTCATCATATTTTTCATAATCCCATTCCTTCGTTTTTTTCAATAAAAGAAAATTTAGTAATTAAATGATAATAATACTAACTTACTGGTCCCCAACACCAAACTGGATCTTTTGGGTCATGAAGAAACCTATTTTAAAATCAAATTTAGAAACATTTTAAATAATTAACTAAGCTTATTTACCAATAATCATGATCAATTGCTGTATATGGTGCAGAGACATCACACTGAAAATAATTAAAATATGATTTATTTAATTATAAAATTTTATTTTCTAACTTCTTAATTTAATAAGAATTTTGAAATTATTTGAAAGTTTTGTTTTAAAATTTGATAGAAAAATCTATTACTGATTTTTTTTTTACTCTTCACAATATTTATCCAATTATGTAACGGATGTTTCAGAATAAATTGCACAAAATTTTGATGACTTTTTTTCTTGTTTCCTAAACATAAAAAATTTTCTCTATAGACCAAACGATATAGAATTTCACTCTATACAAAACTGTCGATTTTATTTTTCAAACAAGTCTAACCATATCAACACTAAATTTAAAACATTCACGTTTACTCATTCAATCAACTATGATTTCCTATTCTCTTCTGATGCTTATTGATATTTGTAAAACTTTTACTTATCGAGTCCATCGGATTCGGAATCAACCTGACGGACTCTATTTATTGACCTATTCACATTTTTTATTTCGAAAATTGTTTCTCCCAAATATTTCTTCTAAAACTCTGAAACAACCATCTAAAGATGCAAAATTTTACAGGAAATTTTGTAATATAAATTAAAAAATTGTTGTCAATTTTTTGTTTTCTTGTTCATCGAAATTGAATGATTAAGTAGATATCCTTCTTCCTGTTAATTTTGGTGTTAATTAGAGAAAGTTGTTTGAGAAATAAATTTCGACAATTTTGTAGAGGTTGAAATTCTCTATTTTTAGATATAAGAGAAAATTCTTTTTTTATGATTAAGAAAAGAGAGCAAAATGCATTGAGATTTTGTACAATTTTTCTTGGAACACCCATTATATTCAACAGGAATGGAAAGAAATTGCGATGATATATTTCTTCAAACAATTAGATAGAACAAAATTAAATTGATTTAAATAATATGTAAAGATTTTATATACAATCGACAGATTATAGGATATGTATATATATTCAATAGAAAAGAAAAAATAATAAACTCTGCTAAAATTTGTTGATTAGAAAACTATATAATGCTCTTTGCCATAACTTTAGACGTTATTTTAGTCAATCTTGAAAATAAACCTCTATCTTGTCTAAGAATTATAAAAAAAAATGATTAAGATTTGTTCTTTCGTAAAACTTTTTTTTTATCATATCTAAAGATTCGTAAGAGATATCTTTTTACTTACATGATTATAAACACCATCCATAATAACACGAATTCCATTTTTATGAAATGTATCAATCATTTCTTTCAACTCAGCTGTTGTACCATATGTACTTTGAATTGCAAAATGATATCTTGGTGTATAACCCCATCCAACTTGTCCAGGAAATTCTTTGACTGGCATCATTTCCACTAACATAAAAAAAGAAAAATTAATAGCAGCTTACGAGAGAATGTACTCAAGTGTTCGATTACTTTTCGATCGAGATTGTATCTAGATGGTAGATTATGGTAAGCAGCGTGAAAGCCTAAGATAGTTCGATTATCTGAATCTTTGTTGTTGAGATATCGAATTTTTACTGTATTTTTTTACCGAAATCTGTCATCCTCTCCAGATCATCATGAAAATCGAGTTTTGACTTGAAATTTTGCATATACAAAATTGTCCACGATACTAGTTCACTGATTTTGGTGCTTCGCATCCGAAGATATCAATATACGAAGAATGATTGCTTTTTTGTATTAGAAAGCTTTTATCATTCATATCTTAAAATACGGCATACAAACATCAGTGAAACTTTCGCAATGAACTAGTATTATTGAGAGTTTTATTTACGTGAAGTTTCAAGTCGAAAACCAATTTTCATAGTGATCTAAGAAACACCCCAGATAGAACTCATCGGATTGGCCTCGAGTTCGATCTCGACTTGGGTTTGAAAATTTTGGATCCGACAGGCTCTTACTATAAGTCTCGTTTAAAATATCAAGTAAAAACTGGATATGTCAAAAATAAAAGCTCAGACAACGGAACCATCTTAGGTTTTGATACTACTCATCATAGGTTATCATCTTAGTACAGTCTCAATTAAAAAGCAATTGAACACTTAAGTACGGTTAGTCATTAATCTTTTTTTTAATTCTGCTCACCAGCTGTAATACCCAATTGAACAAAATAATTCATTCTAGCTGTTA